GCCGAGGCCTTGAGTACGGAGCGCTTTGTGTTCAGATTTGTAGAAAGTATCTCCAAGAGATGATCAGCAGAGAACTTGAAATGATCCGCGTTTTTTTATCCCACACCAATCCCAATATCTTGGTGACCTCGGGGGACTTAAATGGCTTATTTTCGGATGAATGATCGACGTTATCCGCTCTTTAATCAAAGAGTTTCTGGAGTTGAGAAGAATTGGTGTTCCACTTTTGCAGTTCCATGCCTGCTTCCCTGAGTAAAGTCAGTGCTCCGTCAGCGAGTCGCTGTGCCTCCTTGATGTTCGCTGCTCCAGTTAGCAGGTCGTCCACGTAAAAGGATCGGAGTAAAATAGTTGCGATGTCGTTGTTGGGTCCACCCGTTTTGCAAGTGGTGCTGTATCGTAGCCCCGAGTAGGAAGGGACTGGAAGTTGTTCCGAAAGGAACCCTCGTCATGCGCCACTCCTTCGTGTTTGGTAGTAACTCGTTGGGCTTGGGTGTATTTTCAAACCAAAGAAACCGGAGAGCGTCCCTGTCACGCTCCGAGATGACTATTTGTAAAAACGCCTTTTGTATATCTGCTGTGATGGCCACCTTCTGCATTCGAAATCTGAGTAGAACGGGCAAAAGCCGCGTGTTGATTGTTGGACCCTTTTCAAGGTGATCATTGAGAGATCCGGTGTTTGCTGCATGGGAAGATGCGTCGAATACTACTCTAAGTCTAGTTGACTCCGAGTTAACTCGAATTACTGCTCGGTGAGGCATGTAATAAACGTGCCTGTAGGTTGATGCATTTAATTCTATCTCTTCGGCGTGTCCATCTTTAAAGTAACTACGTATTGCTTTGTCATACTGGGCGATAGAGCCATCTTGTGAGAGACGGCGTACAAGACTTCGGAGCCTGGTTTTGGCAATCATGTAATTATCTCCAAGGGTCGTTTTTGTCTCCTTCCACGGCAACGCGACCTCATACCGACCGTTCTTTTGTCGGATGTTTTCCTTGAATTGCTCAAACACCTTTTCTTCCTGTTGTTTCTTATCCATAGGTTCATCCACGATTCCAATGGTCTCCAGTTCCCAGAAATGTTTTAACGCTGCATCATCTTCTTCGTCAGCCCCTCCCACGTTCAACACGCACACCATCAAATTTGTGGTATTATCTGATAAGACACTCACTGTGCTCGTTGGACCCTGAAAGGTCTATCCCAAAGTCGTTGCGATGGCTACTAGCCCGGTGTTGCAAGATGAGCGGCGTGTCTCGCCGTCAACAATTTCCACATCTGGTCCGCTCCAATTAAAAGGCTTATGCCCGCTTTCACTTGAGTCGATGGAAACATCAACTTGTCGGCGATGTCTCCTGGGATAGTCTTGAGAAATGTGTGCTCTACTGGAGTTTCTATGATGTTTTGGCAGATGAAAGGCACGACGACTGCTTCTAAGACATGATCCGCTGTCTTATATTGGCCCCTAATATGGATTCTAACTACGGTGAACTTCTGCCTACACCTGTTTGAGTCACTGCAAGCAAAGGTGTTAAGTTGCATGATACGTTCCCCGACAACCTTCAAATTAAGCTTCCTAGCCAAGTCTTCCCTGATGAAAGTCTTTTGGCTCCCTCCGTCGATAATGCCGCGGATGTAAGCTTGGTTCAGGCCGGTTCCAACCCAGCTTCGGAAGGTTTGTAATAGGAAGCTCGGAGTCTGTACTGTCGGGGTACTACCGGCGGTAAGAACGTCGGCAGTCTCCTGAACGGTTGACAAAGCTTCCCACGCCGAGTTACACATTGAGGTGACATGTGTTCCCCTGCATCCGGTACATCTCTGTTGACTACGGCAATCCCTTGATCGGTGACCTCGCTTCGTGCAACGAAAGCATCTCATGTCTTGCGCTAGCATTTTCTTTTTCTCATCTAGTGTGATATCCGATGGACAATCACCGGTACGGTGAGTTCGATAGTTGCAAAAGAAGCAGGTGTTGTCTGTTTCGCTAGTGTGCAACACCAACGTTGATGGTGGATTGGCGCCTTGCCTCTGATTTTGAGCCACTGTTGGCACGGTTGTCGGCCTTCGCTCGAGTGGCGATGACTGTTCTCTGCTCTATATCTCCACGCGCATAAAACGCAAGAGTTTATCCAACTCCTCACCTGAATCTGTTGGCGAAGGCGAGACGTCGTCTAACGGTTGTCTATCGTCAGTCGTTCCGGCTCTTTCTCTCCCGTTGATTGGAACTCCAAGCCCTATCCCGTATCTTTTGAGTCGATGGTACTCCACCAGTATATCGTTTGGGAGGTTGGACAGGAGTACGTCCACCACCATAGTAGAATACGTTGCACTCGAAACGCCTAGGGCACGCAAGCCACGAATGTTGGTCTGGACGTGGTCGTAATTATTCCTTAGTCCTCGTACATCTCGATCTGACTTCACCGTTGGTAGGCTTCGATCGCAGTCTTTCGAGGTACTCACGCTGAATGCGTTGCTTGTTCCCGAAGCGTTCGGATAGTATTTCTATGGCGTCCTTGTAGCACTCTGCCGTTGCTTGTAGCCCGGAGATAGCACTGGCAGCTGGCCCACTCAGCAGGGAGCGTAGATATTGGAATTTGTCTCCCTCCGTGAGTCTGGTGTTACGGTGAACGGCACTTTGGAATTGCTCCCAGAAGGGCTGCCAGAGGGTAAGCTCACCTTGATACTGCAGTAGTTGTAGTTTAGGGAGTTTCACGCCCGTGGCCTGTGGTATGACTCTGTCACTGTCGTCTCCCACCTGGTAAATGGCTGGTGCTGCCGGTTGACGCTCGATTTTGTTGCGTACCTCACTGAGGGCTCTTGCTACTTGATCTTCGTAGTCTGCCACAGCAACATAGTCCGCTTCGAGGTCGGCATCGGTGATCAGTGGCTCAATCTCTTCGTTGACCTTGCGGAGTTCCTCGTTGCTGGCGATCAGCCTGTCTCGTAGGTTCTTCAGGGAGTTGATGTCAAGGGTTGTTGACTGGAGCGCAGTCGTGATATCGGTAATTATCTTCGTGTTCTGGCTCCGTCGAACCCTCCGCTTCGTCTTCAGCCGATCCATCCTGATGTTGATTCCTCACTTCCAAAGGTCCCGGGTTTCTTGCACCATTAATTGTTGCACATATAAGCTCTCTATTTCGTCGACTGATGACTTTGTCGGTGACCTTTTGAGGTCGATTCGTGAAAGACAGGACAACCTAGGGTGCCTCAATGTCCTTCTGTTTAGGGTGATGCCACCCTTTGTAGTACCAGATGCCGACAGCACGCGCTCACGGGAAAAATACAAAGAAATCGACGAAAACAAAATGTCGCCATAGCACAGTCAGCGCCACAAGCGCGTGCAGGGACACGCTCTTTCACGCGCTTCTGAACAAAAAATAAAAATAAAAGTGTGTGACAAAATGGCGAGATGCCACCACCCTAAGCAAAGCGCACATGAAGGCACCCTAGGACAACCGACTTCGTTGGGAACCTTCGTTTTACTGACCTAAATGGCTCCCCTCGCGCCAGCCCCTCCCCTCATCTTCTTCTTCTTTGTAAGCGGACAAGAGTCTTATGTCAGTCCCTGTTCAGTTACAATTATTTTACAGGAGGAGAGGGTACGGAGGAGGAGGAGGGGCATGCCCTCGCCACCATACCATCCCTTTCTCCTCCTCAAGAGCTGCGCTCTAATTTCGCATTACAGAGATTTGTAAAGGTCTTTCTTTTTTTTTTTTATTGGTTGTCTCTGGTGTAAAATGTCAAAACAGGCACTGCCAAATAAACAAATATTAAAGTTATACTTGAGTCCTATATCTAAACGGGCGGTGCAACGATATTCAATTGAAATATTTTTCACTTTACACGACCTTACTGGCACTTGTGAAGGCGCGTTCACACTCTTGCAACCGAGTACGACCGAGAAAGACTTCTTGAGACCGGATGCGCTGAGCGGAGCTGGTCCTAAGAGATCGCAAGAGGCTTAAAAACCGGTTTGGTCTCTCTCGGTCGTACTCGGTTGCAAGAGTGTGAACGGGCCTTGAGACTCAAGGATACTCGCACGCAACGCCACTGGCCAAGATACTCATTTGTTGCGGTATAATTTCAAGGACAAAAGCGAGCGTTTTCATTCAATCTCTCCTTCGCGAAACTTGATGACGTAACTGGGTGATCGCAGTACCACCCAGTGACGATATTTGAATGCGGCTTATAGATTGGTCCCGAGCATTGCTTTGACACTCGATTTGGGCTCGTGATAATCGATAGCAGGACAAGCATTCGGGTAGTGGACCGTGTCCAATCGCTGCAATGACGACATGCAAGATGGCCAAGCGGCCACCGCACGGCCATCTTGCATGCAGCGAAATAGCATTTTTGGAGCGTCGCAGAGGCTGGCAGTAGCATGCTGAAGACACGTTTTCTACTCGTTCGTCGTCATTTGCCGAAGAAGTGATTAAACCCTTGTGAAAACGGTTAAACATGCCGTTGAGAACACGTGGAAATTATCACGAAAGCGTAGCACAGCAGGAGAAAGGCACAATTCGTCGAAAGCAAATCTGGTCTCGAGAGGCGTGATAAAATCTTCCTCGCACGCCGAAGTGCTGTCTCTCTGTGCCTTCGCACGCGGCAAGCGCTCTTCACCTCAAGCCAGGCGCCCGGCGCTAATCACATGACGTAGTGAAAGGAAAAAGGAACCCTGTCAGGATAGAAAACAAAACTCATACTGTAATGTCTGAGAAAAAAAAAAGTTTGCAAAACAATAAAATGAAGGCAGAAAGGAACTTCATATTAACACCCTCCCCCCCCCCCCCCCCCCAACCCGCCCCCCCGCATCCCAAGTCATTGACGTCTCAGCCACTTCAACCCCTCCCCCTTTCTCCCCCCCCCCCCCCCAAAAAAAAAAAAAAAAAAAACGTTTTTGGCATTGTTGCAGTAAATAAAAACAAAACAAAAAAAATGCAATAGTAGAAATTGTCACCACACGAGGACGCTACATACCGCTCAAATACGTTGATTGTGCCCAAAAGTTTTGAACGTACGTATGTCTAGTAAGTCAAGCTTCTTTCTTCCCTCTATTCACTTATCAAGCTATGATGGCGGCACCCATGGTTTGAAGCGGCATTTCGGAACCCGTCTCGTAAGATCATATTTCGTTGTAATTCGAGGCTTTATTTCTATCACCTAGCGGAACTAACAAGCCTATAAGTGCTCGATTATATTATACACGTATTACAAGTTTAACGGACAGTGACTAATGAATGCTTTGCATTGAAAGCGCCAAGCAAGAAGTGTGTTCGATGGTTTGACTGTTTTGACTTGAAACACGGCATTATGAAGCGTCTTAAAGTTGTTTTCGGGAACTTTTCTTTCAATAAGGGATTGTCGTCACACTTATTCAATGTATCATGACGTCCAAGAACAAAACATCGAGGTGGGCAAAAGTACTACCGTAGTTTAGTTCGGTGTGTCAAGATGACATTGGTCCAAACTTCTTGTTCATTAACTTTTTCTTTTTTTTTCTCGTAATCGACACGTTTGGTTTTGAATATTGACCAATCTTGTTTGAACTATAAATATGAATGACCGGAGTGTGTTGAGTAATGCCAGTAAAATTAGCGCGACAAAATCCTTTTTTTGTTGTCATACGAGGGGCAGTGCTACATTTCGTGGTACCGTTAGCGCACAACGTAGGTGAGACTAACATTTAAAATATCTTGCTGAAAAAGGTGTATTTTTCAAATATCTCAGCAGTGTTTGTTTTCTCGCCTAGTGGGACCAGACAATTCTTTAGGGGACACAGTTTTGTTCTGGAGGGACAACAAAATGGACAAACAGTATCTAAGATATGTTTCATCCAGCGGCATAGCCAGGGGAAAAACTTGTGAGGCTTCAGCCGCCCCCCCCCCCCCCCCCCCCCCACCTTGCCCCCGCCCCCCTCCCGAAATCCATCCGACCCTATAGACCAGTGTCCGCGTCAATTCCAGGGCGCCGCCCTTTTTATCTACGCTCGCGCCACCACGCGGAGAGAACTGGCAGGCAGGAGGGGGGGCTGCGTTGGCGGCGTTGCTTTGGGGAGCTAGATGCGGCAGGCTGTCCGAATGCACCGGCACATCGTGAACTATGTCTTCACCAGAAGCCTCCGCGACCCGTTCTTCAACAGATAAGATGTCGTGAAAATTCGAGAACCCATCTCGATCAAGAAAACAAGAGAAAAACTTTCTTGTCTTAAATGTTCTCGGTGTCTGCTGACCCTCGACATCCGCGTTTCAGTCCGGGTTCATTGCGTAGTAAATATTTCGCTACCCGCTTTCTTGTAGCTTTCAAATGCTTGATTGTTGGCTTCTTGTATACGACATTACATTCGTGGCACGTTTGAGACCGATTTTCGCGATCTGTTTGCCTTTCTGCGGCAGCGCGGCTCCGCCGAGCAGAAATGAGTGGGAGGCGTTCACTTGATCGAACGCCGTTTTAGCGAATGAAAACGAGACCACAACGTTTCATCGAATGGCTAGCGAATGGGTCTAGTTACATAGGCAGCTCGGATTAGCTTTCTTTTGTAATGTGGCGCCTTGTCTGCCGCTGCGAAGCGGCGTAAACGAGGGCTCCGAGTATGTTAGCACGCGTCCCCCCCCCCCCCCCCCCCCCCCCCCCCCCCACACACACACACACACACACACACACACACACACACACACACACACAAACACACACTGTGAGCGTCTGGGTTCGAAACTATTAATTGCCAGTTCTAAAGGATGGTACTTACTTGAAGTGGGAGCTGGAATTCTACGAGGTAGCACGAGACACTTACTATCGGGCAACGAAACAGGGTACCTGTGGGGGGCGGAGTCTAGGAACGCTACTGATTAATATTGCGACAGGCGATCAGTTATGATAGCAGACGAAACTTCGACTCGTTTGTTCAGAAGTTCGCGGTGATATTTTATTAGCCCTCGTTACAGCACATCAAGGATCTTGGGCAGTGAAATTCACATCACGCAGGCTCGTCCGTCGTAGTCAAATGAGCGCAGTCGACGATGAGGTGTAATGAGCTACTAAGCTTCAGAAGGACAATGCGCGTGAGAAAGAGTTTTAAGGAAATCCAAAACACCGATCCAGCAGACGCACGTACGTACGCTTACTCCGGACTTCATGAACCCGACGGCGCAAGATCAAAGAGCACCGCCGCCATCGCCACCCCGGTTTTCTCTGCACTTTGCGCGACGACGGCACTGCAACGGAGGGCACTCGCCTCGGCGTTAACAATCCGCGAAATAGATTAATTTCCCACTGTTACAGCCATTCCAAATGATAAATGAAAATACCTCAGCGTTGTTGAACATCTGACGACACAACCAACACAACTGTGCCACTGGCTGCGTGAGCCTGACACAACTGTGCCGAGCCCCTGCTATAGGCACCGTTGTTGCTCGTGAAGGCCTGCTTATTTGTAGTTGAGACAATGATTCCACGTATTTCGTGGTGCTTGCAATAACTTCGAAGGGCAGGGGAACCTTCTCACGAGGACATTGAAGACACTCAACACCGGAGCCACCAAAGCAATCGCACAAACCGTCGCCATGTTTGCTTCTTCTTCGTCACTCTCGGCGCGGTCAACTCGTCGCGAGATGTTTTCTGGCTCGGCTAGATGGAAACCAACAGCGGCAAAGTGGCGTATGGACACACGGCTCTCACATTACGGGCACTATACTCACATACCGCTGTAAACAGAACCGATGCCGGCGAAACGGCAGTCGGCACACCAGCGAAGAAGCCCTCAACGGGAAGCGGCGGCGCAGGCCGACGCAGCCCCCCCTCCCCGTGAGCGTCTGGGTTCGAGATTATTGTTCGCTTTTGCTCCTTGCGGTCGAGGCTAAAAGAGCACTTCCGGACAAAGGTCTATAATATACACATGCATTTTGACCCCCTCTTCCCCTCCACACCCCAATTCATGGACATCGCAACCACCTCAGCCCCCTGCTTCTCCCCCTTAAAAAACTTTCTGGACACAGTACTGGCTTCACCATCTAAGCATTTAGCATGAACTAATCAACAATAAAAAAGCCATCATGGTTTCATAAAACTTGTATTGGTATTCAAGATGTCCCGTGAATGTCTAGCCATGTTTCCTCTGACGCCAAAGAAATTTGTACGAGCCGATAACCGCTCACGGAACTGTCCACGGGCAGTTCCGTGGCCTCGGAAACCATGACAATGACAGCCAGCCCGACGCTTTCTGGTTTACACTAATGATTGACAGTGTGAGCAGCAACATTTCACACTGTATTTTGTCTTTTGGTCAGGCCATTGGCAGTCCGGCATCATGGGCTTGGAGCAGAGCAGCCACGCCGGAGTAGCCCACAAGTTGGGCAAAGTGCACAAGAAAGGCTCTTCGCCACGTCCCTCCATCAGCTCCGATTCGGACGTGCCTTACATATCGTCGACGGTGAACAATCCCATCGGTGGTATGTTTTTTGGCAACATTTTTTATGTCTATATATCTAGATTTGTACGGAAGAACTGAATGCGTGACATCCCAACTATCCGGCAAGGGAAAGTAAACTATGCTCGACGGCCTCAATACGGTGTCTGGAACTCTTCTGCAGCCAGCGTGTCTCTGGTCACCGACAAAATGAGGACGGTACGGCATCTCTTTCGAACGCCCAGGCTCCAGCATGCGCTCATTGCCTTCCACTGTGCTTTGGTTGCGCGTGTACGCTCGAGGCTCATCAAACTTTGAAGTGCTGTCAAAGGGAGGAAGCTTGCACTGGAGGCGGGGCAACTTGATTTCCTCCCTGACGTTCTCCCTTTATCAGTGACTGTAGCGCCCTATACTGCCCATGCATCGAACGTGCCCGAAGAGGCTACAAGCTTTATCGCAGGAGCTGGAGTGTGGTGCTACGAGTTGCCGCAATCCTGGCGGTTGGTTACAGAAGTGCATCTGAAGAACTCTAGCAGACGCAAGCGTTGCTGTTGTCATTGTGGTGTCTTGACCTGTGCCCACGGTAGTTTCTTTCTGGCCGGCCGGCTGAAGAGCAAGCTGCTGCGAGCTAAGGTCTGTTGTGCAACTTGTGTCTGCCGCCACTGCTGCACCACAGCCAGGACTGCGACACGGGGTGGCATTGCACATTTTTAACATCACCAGCCAGAAATTAAGGGGATAAAAGTGAAGACGCATCACAGATCAGTCGACAGACATGTTCCTGGCACCACAACCTCGGTAAAGTGGCATGTGGTTGTTCTCGGAGAGAAGGTGCAAAGCCTTCGACGGCACATTTAGGTGCTCTCTGGTCAACTCTGCTAAGTATGCTTCGTTCTTAGTTCAGGTCCAACGTCTGTATGGGGCTTTATTCCTATCTCGTGAGGGTGCGTTCCTCTAAGTTTCCGTCGGCACGATTTAACCCCTTCCCTGTCCCTTCCCTTCCCTTCTGCTTATCTTCTAAGTTTTTAAAAATTTAGTGGGATTAGGAACGACTGGCACTTTGTGGGAAAGAGACTCCCATAGACCTCTAATAGCCGGCAGTGTGAGCGTGAGCAGCGATGCGGGGTCTGCTTCATCTGTCCTGCGCACAAACTAAAGTGTGCGGAGCTTTTGTTGGATTGCTCTTGCAGTGAAACGCTCCGCAATCTGTGCCATTTGCGTTTGTGTTGTTTGTGGTAGTATGTCCACGGGGAAAACGAGCCACGTTTATACTACGTATCACTTTATGATGAACAACGGAGGACTTTACGAGCCATCTGAGCCAATCTTATGCCGCACAACTGTCACGTGACCTTCGGAATAAATGCGGCGGTGCGTAGGACGCATAGTTGTAGTCACGTGACACACACACAGTGCTGGATCGGCTGGAATGGCTTGTAGCATCCACTGTAGTTCATTGTAAAGTGATATGGAGAATTGGAGATTATAGTCACCCGCAGGATTAGAATGATGGGGAGGTTCTTCAGCTGTTCCATCTCCAACACAAGCTTCCAACCTTTAATAATGTTTCAACGTCTAGTGAGCCTCGAGTGTGCATGCTCGGCCAAAGCGTACCGGAAGGCAGCGATTGCGCGCTCAAGGCATTCGAAGGAGGCACTCTGCCGTTCTCATCCTTATCAGTTATCATAGAAAGGTTAACAGTTCACATTGCACGCAGCCCACAGAGCGGAACGCAGTTCTTGCAATCGCACGTAACCTACACCTTCCAGCTCTGCCTCACTCCGGCTTATGACCCCGCCCCCACTAACGTCTTTTCTCTAACATTGCCCGCCCACGCTTCTCTTTCCCCTCTTTCTTTCTTTCCCTCGTCTCCCTCTGTTCTCGCGCTGGCGGGAGGGGGCGGTGCCAGAGTCCCCCAAGCTGTCGAGCAAGAGCCCCGCCCACTTGCTGCGCAACTCGCCCCGCCCTTCGCCCAAGCCCCGCCCTCACTCGTATGCCGGAACCTCAGGTCACGACATCGTGGTGGTCAAGGAAGGCAGCCTTGACATTCAGACAGTGGACACGGATGAAGACCTCCTCAAGTTGCAGGTTAGATGCCTTCAAATCTCTTTCACATGCATGTATTTGTGGCAAATTACCCTTTTCAAAAGCGTACTCCAACTAGTAGCTGCTGCATCAATTTTCCGAGTCTGCCGTTGTTTGGGCACATGCTCTAAATATGTACTCTTTTCAAAAGCGTACTCCAACTAGTAGCTGCTGCATCAATTTTCCGAGTCTGCCGTTGTTTGGGCACATGCTCTAAATATGTACTCTTTTCAAAAGCGTACTCCAACTAGTAGCTGCTGCATCAATTTTCCGAGTCTGCCGTTGTTTGGGCACATGCTCTAAATATGTACTGGACATGAGGGTTGTGTCAGCATTTGCCGTGAACTCTGCTAAACTTGTATCGAAAATGAAGGGTGCTTCAGCGTTCGGCAGGGACTTGGATCCAATCACCCGCTTTGTGCCCAATGGATGGATGGATGAATGTTAATGGCTACACCCTTTGTAATGTGTGGTAGCTTGCGCCACCTAGCCCAAGAAATGGCAACTGCCAATGTTGCTCAATGGGGCTTTGAAAAGCGTCTATTGCAGCAGGAGACTAGAGCCACTCTAAATGCTTCCAAAGAGAGCAGAATAATGTTAACTTAAGTACCGCCTCTCGACAGCTAGCAGCGATTGCTACCGAGGCTTTATTTCCATTGACATTGGCATGAATGTTTGAAGAAAAACGTTTCTATTTGCCTACTGGGCAATGTATGATATGAAAACTTTTTTACATTATTATTAGGCTTTATAAAAATACATTCATTAGTGCAGGGGTGGAAGCGCTGCGCCAATTGCGCCACCCTGCGCCAATTCACTTCCCTGCGCCAGCCTGCTCCAAAACGCCAATTTCAACTTTTTTTTTTTTTTTTTTTTAGTGTTTTCTCTAAATTTAGCGAAAAACGATTGGACACGTGCCTCCATGTGGTGTGTACTTTTGCTTAGGTGTCACTGCGGGTGACTCGTACCAAATCGACTGGGGCTCCGAACCATGTCTAACCTCAGGGCGAGGCGCCGATTTTAGTTCATCGAGAGTGCGATGTCGTCTTTTACTACAAAGAGCTTGATATACAAACACATCGGTTTGGTTTCGGGCATAGTTGGTTGGCGCGGTTGGAGCGCGCATGCAGTTGCCCGTGGTCCCGATTTGCCGTGATCGTGGGAGTTGGTGCCTCGGCACCGGTGGGCTACCTTGGCCATTAACATGAGCAGAAGTAAGTGGTCTTTACTAGCTTTACCTGTTATTTGGTAGCCTACCTAATTTGGACGCTTAGCCGTGAAGAATCGCGAGCACAGGCACATCCGTTTTCGAGCTCAATTTTTCTTATCAAAACGAAACCAAAACCATCATTGTGTGCGCGAATGTGCACGCTGTCGTGCGGTGTCTCCCGCCGTCAGACCACTAGCGAAAAAAATACCCGCGATCTTAAGCGAGTTGGTTAATTGGCAGTGCTACACACTTTTTTGTTTCTTTCCTTTAGCGTGGAGGAGTGGGGGGTGACATCAGAAATGCCGTACAACACTCTTGCGCTGCCGATTCCTGTCAAGAACGTACCTTAACTTGCTATAGCCACCCTACTCGTATAAGTTTCGGGTATAGGTGTATCTGGTTGGGGGGGGGGGGGGGGGGGGGGTTGGGTAGGGTAGAGAGAAGTTGGTGGGCTTTTTGTCACGTAAGAAGGCAGCCTGCCCCGCAGGGATCAGCGCCTGATCAGCTACATCTCATTTTCAGTCTCGTTCAAACTGTCTTCTCTTAAAGCACTTCTACTGAGTGCACAAGAACTCATAAGCAAGGGTGAGGCAGTTAAGGACATGGACAAGGTGGGGAGTGGACACCTCCTGCTAAGAGATGTGAACTCTAAACTGCCCAGAGTACTCGAGCGCATAAAAGAAATTGACTCTGCTCTTCAAACTGTGAAAAAAAAGGTGAACTTCAGTTGTTCCTAAATTACACAGATTCAGCTTAGTCACAACCCCTTTTTTTTTAACATGGAGCCTGTGGGCTCTTCTAGTCAGTGTTTATGCTGCATATGTATTAGTGGCTGTGATATCTTTAAGACAATATATTTTTCCATCCAAAGTAATATAGATATAGCTTTGTATGTTAACTTGGGTGTAGGGATTACTGTATTTTATGAACAGGGATTAAGAACATTTGTATTTAATGAAAACAGGTCAGCAAGGACTGCTTTATTCTGAGACATGTTGTGGTACCTTAATTTTTTTATGGAGACACGCAATGCACAGCATTTTATGGAGTACATAAGGTTGCGTTGCTCTTCTAGTCGATGCTTAAAGCTGCATATGTACGAGTGACTGTGGTAGTTTAAAGATAAAAAATACACATTTTATTTTGCATCTGAATTTTTGTCAAATGTCAGTAGCCTTGTATTTTGTTACTAAACTTGATATAGGGCTTTTTAAATAGTGATTGAACATGTGTATTCTTTATTAAACAAAAACTGTAGTCAGCGAAGGTAGTTTATCTGACACCTTGCAGTGGTTTAGTTTTATGGATACATGTTTACAATTGGTCTATTAAGTAGACGGTTTTGTACTGGCGTGGCTCAAGCTAGGCTTTTATTGTCGGGGCCTCCCATATAAAGTCTATCATGACTCTGCCTGCTGCCGGAATGGTTCTCAAAGCCTTTCCTTTGCATAAATTGCCAATATTCCACATTTCAATGCAATAGAAATAGAAATGTGTGTATGTATGTTGCTTGAAAATTATTTTGGGATGTGCATGCATATATTTTTTCTACATTTTCACATTTAGAAACAACAAATCACTTTTAGACATTTGTTTGACCTCCGTGACCTGCTGCAAAACCTACTTCGACGGCTACAAAACTTATTTTTGCTGCTCCCGAGCTGCTCTAAAGCGAGCGTTTTACTGCTCCAAAACTGCTCCAAAGTGGGACTTTTGCTGCTCCCAGCCCTGATACAAAAGGCTCTAGCCCGCTTCCACCCCTGTTAGTGTTTAAGCTTTGAACAAGCTCGGCGGTCTCATTTTTGATTAGAAATAACCTTAGCAATGGTGACCGGGTGGACAACGTGGCGAGTAGTGAATGCAGTCCCGTCTCGGTGTGCTTAAAGGGACAATGAAGGCAATTTCGGACATCTTTTTGGCGATTGAACTGGGTTCCAGGTACATCTCGGGCCGCGTTGCCCAAATTTCAGCCGAAACCGGCGCTTGTGTGCCGCGCGAATCAATTAAACAGTCGAGGTAATAATCGTACCGGGATCGACTGGGGCGATGCCCCGAGAGTTGCGGGAGAAGCCAGGAGAAGCGGAGCTCACGTGACTGATGCGGGGTCAAGAAGCGCGATGTAACAAGAGACGCGTCAGCGACTGGTCGAAACGAGAGACGTGCCCTCGGTCACGTTTTGGTTCGCGATTTTTAGAAATACTGTTCTAATTTCCGCTTGAATAACCATGGAAAGTATAAATCGGACCGGAAATGATTACTAAACCGTAAATAAAGCAGCATAATTGTTTTTTTCATTGCTACGTTGGACGCAAAATGGCCAACGAGCAACTATGGGTACTTCGGCATGCGGGCCGCTCGTTACCAGCTGGGCGGTCTCTGTTCGGGTGATAGCAGAGGCCGCCACACACATACTCCCGTTCCGTTTGTGTTGGGTCACTGAACGGAAGCTCGAACTCGCTTGCGAGAGCGGCATTGCCGTTCATGTTGACCGATTCGACGAAACGACCGCGCCACCGCGCTGCTATAACCCACCGCGGTGACCAGAGTCTTGATCTCCTAAATACTACCGATACAAACTATTCACACTTGACGTCACTCTCTACGTCACCTCCGTTTTCGGAGGCCCAGAAACAAGAATGGAGATTGTTCAGTTTCGTTTTTTTTACTTCTTTCGTAGACACAAAAATACGCGTCACAAATGTCTACAAAAAATTGGGCAGCATGCTATGTTCCCAAGAAGCATAAAAACACCATTTAAAAAAATTAGATACAATCGTCTTCATTGTCCCTTTAACATCACTCAGAAAGATTGTAGAACCTCTGTTCTTGTTTGGCACAGCATGGCCTATGTTGCTTTTTGCGCCATTAAACACCTAATAATCAATCATCAATCTGTTCTTGTAACTAGTGCTTTCTTTCTCCACAAAGCACGTGTCCTTAGTTATGAATGTCTAGTTCCTTTTTCCTCGCATACTTTTCACATATATCCAATCTTCATACATTTTTATTCAGTGTTGTTGTTCTACAAACTTTGAGTAAAGATAATCATAAAGGGCATATGAGCATCTTAATATTTTTGATCGATCTTTATTTCGACATTTCGTCAATCTTGACACCATTCCATTGCATCTAGTAACTACTATGGAGTCTTTTTAGGAGAGGAAACCACGTGACCAACATTGACTTATCTGAAAATTCCGGTGCTCGCTCTGTTGGGAAGGTTTGCCAACAAAGCTTCTCTGCTCCCTTTAGAAACTCTTACTGCTGCACTTTAGCAGGCTGCCCCATGGTTGGGAGATGATTCTCAATTCCCTCTTGTGAATGGGCACGGTGTTGTAGATGAACAGTTTTTTAGACTAAACTAATCAATGTCATTTCCATTGCTTACTAGCTGTCAAAGTCAATGCTTTTTCATTTGCGAAACGTTGCCTTGCAATGCTTCAGCAACCTCTAAAGAAACTGAGGCAGGTCAATCATGCGCAAAAGGCACTCGACCGCCAGTATTTTTGCGGTGGAAAGTCGTATTTTGAGTTGCGGATATTTCTTTCGATTGTCAGGCCCCTGCGTTAAGCTGGGCATGCAAATGCAACTTGTCAAAGGCTCTTTTGAGTGTGCCTCATGCCGGAGCGGCGCTCATTTAATGGCAAGGTTGGAACTCCTTGCCTTCAGTGTTGAAAGAACGACTGACTGGTCGTCATTTAACAAAAGGCAGTAACAACTTTTCTATACAGATATCTTAGTACTCCTGTCAGTCATCAGTACATTGGCTGTTGTTTCGTTGATATGTCCAGTCCGGTCTCACCGTTTCTTGTTATCGCCTTTCCGGGTTTCGGCACAGTGCTGTAAGAACGGCTGACTGGTCTTCGAATAAATAAAGTCTGTGATAACGTTATGATGCAGATATTTACGTTGCAACTGTCCGGCATTGTTCGTTTATGGCTGGGCCTTGATCATCCTTCTCACGGGCAATTATTTTCATGGTGCCTGGAACGCACCTTCGACCGGTGGGCTACCTGCATCATCCTGCCCGTGCATCAAAAGTGGCCCCAAATTTGCATCAAAGATGTGGAACAGGAGCCAGCATGTCATGAAGTCAAAAGTCGCTATCTCGGCAGTGAATCATAGAAATGCTAGCGAAAAAGGCGACCAGACGCAACGGTCGCTGTCGTGACAGGTCCCTGTCTTGTGTCTTCTTTGGTTCTTCTCTGACTGCAGTGCGACCTAGAGCAGAACTGGTCTCTGCCACATCCACCGCTGTTGCTGTGCCACTGCCAAAATCGTGGCAGGCAACATTATTAGCTGGGCTCAGTTACGGAACTGCCCATTGACGCTGCTTTCACTAGCAGCACCCCCACCCCCTCTGCTTCCGAGGTCTGCCTCCCGTCGCTTGACGTGCCACCCCTTTTGAGGGGAATGGCTGCTATGGTAACTATAGTTACGTAGGTTTTGAAGAGCATCAAGATCAGGGGTCTACGAACGCTGACCTGCAGCTGGCCACAGTCCTTCCACTGAAGCCCGGCCTGCAGCCTACTTCCATCAGACACGCTGCTACCGGCGTAAAAAAGAAGTGTGTGTAAAGAAAATGCATCGCTTTACACTACCAATGCGGAAACAAAGATAATAGAAAGAATTATATAAACTGCATCGTAACATAGGTCCTCTCACCATATTTTTCATTTATGTCTGTGTAACTATGTTGAAATTCCTTTGCACTCTCACTTACATTGTGCCTAGTGTCAGCGGTAGTTTTATAATTTCCATTAGCCTTCGCACTGTGCGAATGTGCCGAAGTTCCCATGCGCAATTGTTGTATAATGTCAAAATTAACTAAATATTAAATTTTTAAGTGAAGTATATGTACTGTCGAGACCAGTTACAACGAAGTCGGTTATAACGAAATAGCAGCTGCAGCGAAGCGATCACGATTTCCCATTCTCTTTTGCACTTCATTAACCAAAGTCGGTTATAACGGAATATCAGATATAGCGAAGTGATTTTCAATTTCCGTTGACTTTGTTATAACCGGTCTTAACAATAGTCATCCACCTTAGGGTTTTTTTAATACCTACTTTGACACTCATTTCTGTGTTTGAATGCTTATCCAGGTTTACTTATTTGGTTCTTCCTCATTTTTGCTTACTCCTTTCCTGGCCCTCGAGACTGAAAGGTCCCAAATCCAACTTCGTAGCCAAGAAGTTTGGAGACCCCCGATCTAGATTGTGCTTCACCGTAGCACCTTTGAAGGATACACTTTTATAATGCGGCCTCTAGGTGGCACTTTAAACGGTGGGCTTGAGGGCAGGGGGGTTACTCCCTTCTGCAGGAGTTCCACAACTGAACTGATCTATTAACATCGGCGGCAGGCAACAACACGGTACATGTCATCACGCAGAAATCGAGGAACCACCTTTGCGTACGTCGTGAACACACCAGCTAGAAGTTTCTTGCAGGCACCATAATTTTTTTTTCTCACGCTGCTCGTTCCAGCTTTTTCGTTGAGATATCCCCTCATAAAAGGAAGTTTGAACACGCAGGCCATCCCCCAGTTCCTGCCCATCCTACGAGGAAGCCTGCACAGCCCCATCATCTGCGACGCAGACGTTGCCGACAAGCTAGACCACCGGGCTGTCAACCGGCTGGCCTCCCGCTACCAGGACCACCTGCGACAGTGCTCCGAGGTGGTCAGCACTGAGCAGAATGCACTGGCCAGCCGCATCAGGGAGGTGCGTCGAGCTTGCATTGCCTGTAAAACAAGCTCCGATTTTTTTTAAATATACGCTTATTCAGCGAGAATCATGGATGGTTCAGACATTTGCATTTTCTCGTAACAGCTTAGAACGCTGGCACCATCTATTGGGAAGCCTTGGAACACTTTCGACTAGCATATGTATTGTTTTAATTTTTTATAAATTTTTTTTAACCGTTGTGAAATTCCGCATTGATCGATCCCTCTCCCGGGAGATCTCCGTCCGGTTTTTTTAGCTTAATGTCTGTAACATAAAAATTTCAAAACCTCGCCCACCTCTCAATTCCCATCGGGCATCGCGAGATGTCTGACAGGAATCAGATGAACCGCGTGATCTGCGGTTGGTACGTGTGACAAGCAAGTTTACAGCGGGTTCCTGTGTTTTTGTTCACGATTTCTGTGCACCCTCAGTTCCCATGACATGCTAATTCGCAGCAAGTGCCCGGGTTTTCGTCCACGATCTGCACGCGAGGTATCTGTTCCCGTGGCATGCAAGTTTGTAGCTGGTTAACATGAATCTGCTGCATCCGCTGTCTGTGGTATCCTTTCCTGTGACACAGGAGTTGGTAATGAATTCCCACTTGTTTATCACGTTGTGAAACACTAATTTTCTGCGGCTGCGACCTGTGGATCAGTCTCCGTGCCACGAGGTTTTTATTTATCATAAATTTTTGATAAAGTTTTGCTATCTCATCTTTAAAAATTGTCCACCTCATGCTTTTCACCATTTATCTCCTCATAATGGGTGGGCACCCTTAGGGGATTTTATGGTATGGATTTTGCATAATTTTGACATTGTTATGGACGACCATTTTACATAGCTAAGGCATAGATTTGATCTTTCAAATATTGTGAAATCTTCAGTCTAGCTATATGCAGTGCTACCTGAGTGATGGTGCCAGTGTGTTCTCTGGTTGCGAGCAGTTGCTAGGGAACGTAACACACTCTAGCACAGTCAGACGCAAATGCGTAGCCTTTAGTCGCCCCGGAAATTCACCAACTTCTGTCTTCGTCACAGAGGAGTGATAGACATTTTCCTAAGTGTCCCCGGTGTTGCGTTCACCACACCAAATAGCATTCTGCAAGTACACAGTTACATATGCCACACACATGTACTCACAGAGTGTGTCTAACATAGTTACACACGCTCAACGCATGTACCTACACCCCCAGCATTTCTCTTAGGGCTTTCGTAACTTTCAGCACAGTTTCACTCAGTGGCGTAGCCAGGATTTTATTTCGGGAGGGTTTCAACGGCATCCCCCCCCCCAATGACGCAGGGTGAGCTCGCCGACGCGGACGCTCGGGAAAAAAAACGCTGCATTGTCATTTTTCAAAATGGAGCAGGCTTCATTTACAGGGATACAGGCGTGGTGGCTCACTGTTCTACAGTCGTCATACTTGCGGCCCACTAACCTTAAAAGCTTCCTCGCAGCATACAACTCCCTTCGCTTTTCGAGGTAGCAGTGCATTACCAACGCGTGAAGGCCAGACAAAACACAAAGATAGCTATACTTTCGCAAAAATAATTAAACAGGAAAAAAAAAATCTCGAAACTGAAAAATTGGAGCAACCGACCACGCACAAACACTAGGGGCCCATATATAGGGTGAAGGTAATTCTGAACAATCACAAAACCAAAATCTAATATTTATTAAAGGTTTAACAAATTCGTGCTACAGAACCAGATGCCAAAGGAGAGAGTGTTATCTTTGCTAGGCCGTTTTATCTTGCAGTGTGGTCCAAAGGCAGCAGTGGCATATCTTGGGGGCGATTGCAAGTCGTCAGTCCGAACTCGTCGTTCCGTCCCTCGGAGAAATGACATCACACGCCACGCACAAACAGGCAAACCACACTCCGAACATGGAAACGAACTTGAATACACTTGCGCTAAGGCATAGTGAGAATATGAAGGTTCTTCGGAGTTTTTGATGTTCCGTGCAACGAAAAGTTTGATCTAATAAAGAATTGCATCGGATGCCACCTCGACACACAAAGCAGAAAGCAAGACTGACGTCATCGCATCCGCGAGCGACAGGTTTCGCAAAGCAAGGAAAACTTCGCCAAAAATAAGGAAATTTTAGGCGTCCAATGCAAGAGGGAGAAACGTAAAACGCCCGTCAAGTCTGCACTATGCAGGTGGTCGGTCTCTGTCTGGAGGCCCTATTTCAGAACGTCCATCGTCTCCTTGAGATCTTAGCGACTCTGCCCTTAACAAAAGAGGAAGCTGAGCGCTCGTTCTCTTCACTACGACGGTTGAAAACATCCTGAGAGCGTCCACCTCGGATGAGCGACTGCTCGGTTGCAGATGCTACAGGCGCGAGCATGTGGCCCTGAACAGTGCTTGAACTGCACGACTGCACGAGCGCGCGATGCTTGGCAGGGACGCTGAAAGCGCGGAGCTCGCGTTTGTAGCATCAGCTGCGTTTGGACCATAAGCTGAAACGAAGTAGTGCTTTTGAATGTTCACCGCGACATTAAAGTTAAAGCGGAGGACGTCTGGGATATTTTTTTCTGTAAACACAGGTGGCTGCATTTTTATGTGTAGGCACTTGGCATAAATGAGATGATAAAAAGAACCTGTAAATTGCTTTCTAATATAACCAGTTACTATTACCTTATCATTTGCGGTAATTTCTAGTCTAAAGCACGTAATTTTGATCACAAAAGGTGCGCGTGAGCGCAGCGCTGCCCGTTGCTTACAGTGCTATTGTTTTTTTACAATTCATTTATTATTCCTTACATCACTGGCATTGTTTTATATTATCACCATGTATTCGTTTTCTTATGTTCACTTTGGTTTGATTGAACGGTGTATGTCAGTGAGGATAGTTTGTTATACTTGGCCTTGAAATTGCCATCCTTCACCCCACTCATGTTTTGAAAAATATCCGTTGTCTATACCGTAAAATACCGTGCATCCGCCCATTCCACATTAAGCGCCCATACCCAAATTTGTAAAATCTGAGAAAATATGCACAGTACATTGATATGTAGAACTGATGACCGGACAAGCGCCCATCCCCCATTTTTTCATGATTATCTCAAAATTTTGAGTGGGCGCTTGCCCGGTATTTTACGGTATATCTGAGATCAAGTTTCGCATCCCATCTTAAGCAATATTGCAAATTTTATTAATTTGAGCATCTTCTACCCCACAAACAATTTCCCCGAAAGCATGTAAGTTGGAGATGGTTCATGCTTCCCCGTTGCTCCGTGCCTCGTGCAACAGCAAAACCGACTGCGTGAGCAGGGGAGCGAGCGGGCCCCATTGGGAAGGGGGGGGGGGGGGGGGGGGGGTAGCTCTGGCATTTCGGGAGGCGTTTCGACCCCCCAAACCCCCCTCTGCCTACGCCACTGGTTTCACTACTTGATGGCGGTCATGATATAGTATTTCATTGAATTCTTATAATCTCTACAGACGTATACCAACATGTAACAGTAGTGAGTGCCGTGTAATTCTAAGAACATTTTTTGCAGTGCCAATCCGAGTGTGGCTATGAAAAATGTGGCTAGCTCCAACCCACAAAAAATGATGCGATCGCTTGTTTTTGGTGCAGGTTGCGGAGCTTAATACTCCCATATTTGCTTTTGTTTATTCTGCAATAACTAGTACATTGAGAGAAAAGTTGCTGTGAGATGTGCATGTATCTTTGCGCAAAATGAAGATGGTATCATTAATTAATGCAAACTAATTTGCTTACAGCTATTTACAAGAAATATATAAGCTTGCTGCTTTCAGTTGTCCACTGGCCTTGCGCCATCCTCGTTCCTCTCTTTCTCACCACGCTCTTCCTTCTTTTCTTTTTCAACAAATTTTCCCCAAAATGACAGCGTCATTTTTTTTTTATGAGATCTCTAGAGGGATCAATAACTGTACTATAGGTCTTTTCAGAGTTAAGCCTATGGGCATTTTGAGCACACGTGACCATAACTTCTCGTCTCTGTTTGGTAATACCTTTTGTATTGTTTGTATATTGTATTGTATTGTATCCTAGCAATTTTCCATTGTTGTCGAGGCTGCAGGCTGTCACAAAGAAGAACCAATTCACCCTCTTTAAGGGTTTTTCCCTGGCACTCCTTTTGGCCTTGCATGTTCCTCAGCTTTGCCAGGTATTCCTGACTCCATCATCGCCAGAAAGTTTCTGTCATCTGCTGTCTGCGAGTTTAGAGTTTACTGAGTTTGGTGTAAACACCGTCGACTTGTCTCTTCCCCATGCTTGGCAGCGTCGTCAGTCGTCTGCCCGTCAAAGAGAAAGGGGTGACAAGGTGGCTCTGGTTCTTCGGGATCATTGTAAACATGCATCAGCGGTCTCGAGTTCAACACCACCTCGATTTCGGTCAGTGTTGTTTGCAATTCGTTGAAATGCAAACATCTGGTACCAATTGCTTTTTTCAATGAGAGCTTCGTTCTCATTGAACTTCCAGACGATTTGTGCGTTGGAAAAGTAATCAAGAACCTCGGAATCCCGGATAGCGCTCCAAAGTTGTTCAAGACCTCTGTTAGCTTCTTGAACGATAAGGCGTTATGGCTGTAAATGACCCTAGGAATGCCTCTTCGTGAGATGAAGCACCTGAGTGCCATCAAAAATAAGTCAGTTGTCATGTCTCGAATGAGCTCTAAATGAATCGCCCTGGTGACAGCGCATGTTAACAAAGTCACATAGGTCTTGTGAAGTGTGTTCTCCCTTTACCAGCAGTGGCCCTGCAAAATCAACCCCTGTGACCTCAAAGGCTTGAGCTTGGGTCACTCGGTCTCGTGGAAGCGGAGCTGTCACTTCTGTCGCCGGGCGGGCATTGAAGCGTTGGCATGTTATGCATTCCTTAATTATCTTTCTTGCCAGTTGTCGTGCTCGTACCACTGAGTACCTTTCTCTGAGTTGTACCAGGGTGTCTCGCACTCCTCCGTGTATTGCTTGGCAGTGAGACTGTCGGACGAGCAGTTCTCCCAAGCGATGTCTACTCATCAGTACACTT